TATATATTTGGACTTATTGTATGTGTGAGGGGCGCAGTGTGTGTATGTAAGAGGGGTGCTGTGTGTGAGGGTGTTTTTATCTGCTGTCACATTCTAGGTTTCTAATTTTCTTTGTCTGTTAACTCACTGAGGGTTATTTTATATATATATATATATATATATATATATATGTGTGTGTGCTGTATATGTGTGGGAGTGTGCTGTGTGTGTCTGTGGTGGTGCTGTGTGTGTCTGGGGCTGTGTGGTCTGGGGCGCTGTGTGTGTCTGGGTGGCTGGCTGTGTCTGGTCTGGGGTGTGCTGTGTGTGTCTCGCTGTGTGAGTTTGGATGCTGTGTCTGGGGGTGCTGTGTGTGTCTGGGTGCTGTGTCTGTCTGGGTGTGCTGTGTCTGTCTTGGGGGTGCTGTGTCTGTCTGGGGGTGCAGTGTGAGTTTGGGTGCTGTGTGTGTCTGGGTGCGCTGTGTGTGTCTGGATGCTGTGTGTGTCTGGGTGCTGTGTGTGTCTGGGTGCGCTGTGTGTGTCTGGGTGCTCTGTGTGTGTCTGGGTGCGCTGTGTGTGTCTGGATGCTGTGTGTGTCTGGGTGCGTTGTGTGTGTCTGGATGCTGTGTGTGTCTGGGGGCGCTGTGTGTGTCTGGGGGCGCTGTGTGTGTCTGGGGGGTGCTGTGTGTGTCTCGGGGCGCTGTGTGTGTCTGGGGGCCCTGTGTGTGTCTGGGGGCCCTGTGTGTGTCTGGGGGGTGCTGTGTCTGGGTGCTGTGTGTGTGAGTGAATGTATTTTTTATTTAAATTTAAATATATATTTTTTTATTAATAAAAAAAAAAAAAATGATATCCCCCCCTCCCTTCTTACCTTTATCCTGGGAAAGGGGGGTGGGGGGGAGGAGATCCGTTCTGCCTGGGGGGTTGGGAGCCATGCTGCCTTCCCTGGTGGTCCAGTGGTGAGAGCGAACTCTAACCTACGGGTTAGAGTTCACTCTCGCGAGATCTGAGCGTTGCCGTGGTAACCGCGGCAACACTCAGAATCACGCGAGAGGACCCGGCGGAGCTGCTGGTTAGAGCGCCGCCGGTCCTCTCTCCTGCCTCACTCCCCAGCCTGCTGGCGGCCGCATCTCCCTGTCTGTGGGCCGGTGAGGATCTCCCCACCGGCCCACGAAAGCACATAGCAGGGCCGGCGCTCGGACAGCGCTGGCCCTGCAGGGGCCGGCCGGGGAGATCCTGTGATCTCCCTGCCGGCCTCGGCCCCATGGCCATCGCGGCCCACCGGGCATTTGCCCGGTATGCCCGATGGCCAGTCCGGGCCTGATACAATCTGTATCTTCACTCTCCTATTCTATCTTTTGTCCTAAGGAGAGCTGTGCTTAGGCAATCACATGGTTAAAAAAAAAAAAAAAATTGTGCTTGCAAGTCTTCTCCCCCCCTCCTTCTTGGTTGCTTTCTCTTGCCCTGACTGCTATGAGTATTGGCTAGGGGGGCGGGGATGGGTGAAATGCTTGTAAACTTAAACAAAGGGTAATTGCTGGACAATTATCCTAGTTAGGAACTTTGTGTAATCTTGTATATGTTGTTAAGTAAGAGGTTATTGGCATGTTGGAATAAGGAAAGTTAGATTTTGTTGGAACAAATGAATTGTGGAATTCATAAATGATAATGCAGAGAAAAGTACATTGCAGTTTGCATGTAATAGCAGCTATTCAGATGCTGTATTGTGGCAATCTTTATACACACAATGTGAAATTGCCAATAGTGAAATTGCCAAGAAATTGTTTGTTAATAAAAAAAAAAAAAACAAAGATCAGAAATGTTATGAAACTAGTCTGTACTCACAATGCATTGATTTGTAAACGAGATGCAGGTCAAGAAAATTTAGAATCAGCAGATAAAGAAATAAATTTGAATATGTTAACAGAAGACAAATCAGATTTAAATGACCAGTGTAACAAAGTAACAGAGCTGTAAAACTTAATTTGAAAATCCGTTAACAATTAATGAAAATTGTGAAATGTATTCCAGTTTATGACATGTCAGTGGATGCATTTACTAATGCTGAAATATTTGAGTCAAATTTGGACAAATATAGCCTAAATGACGAACAAAGGAATAGACTATTTAAAACATGGCTGCCGACTCAAATGCATATAGACTTATTGGTAATTTTCCTGAGGATCAGTTAATTAATGAGTTTGTGAAAAAATTTCAAGATCTAGATTCAACTGCAATTGTAATTGCTAGAGAAAAAAGTACTTTGAAGGAAGTTGCTTTATTCTTAGATAAAATAAGGAAATATCCAGACATGAACGGGTTACACTGACTTGTCAGACGCAGAGAAAGAAGTGCAGATTTCACCCCCTCCTTTTCCCCCCTAGAACTCAGTGTGAAAGAGCAATACAGACGCCTGAGCCACTCCCAATTGCCTCAACGGCAGAATATAACTAAAGTTATTTGTGTTTGGTGCACATTATTTAAGATCTTGCAGATATTTGATTCTAGAGTTAAAACCAGCACAAGAATAGAGATATGTGTTTGTTTGTTTACTAACTTGTTAGTCTGTACTGTTTTTTTATTGTTTTTGTTAGTTTTTTTCATTGTTTTTATGTATGTTATATTGGTTGTATGCTATTATACAGTAACTCCAATCAATTTACAGAAGGAAAAAAAACAATAGATTTACTCTTTGTTGCTTCTGAGGTTGATTTAAAATCTTTGATTTAATTCATGAGAATGAGATTTTAATATCATGACTGATAATGGATTACTGTATATTGCAACGCCTGGACATACACATGGTTTGGATATACTGAAGACAAAACGAATAATATATGGGAATGGATAAGGCTGATTTCCCACTATCCAGAGCCACGCCTACTCCTAAAGTAACATCACGTCCATCCTTACTATGCCCTTTTACTGTAGAATTGCCCGAATCCTAATGACCCATTCTACTACATGGTGTGACTTGTTTAAGCCTAAGATAAATTGGCTGATCAGGCTACCTGTATTAACAATGTCATCAACGATGAGTTAGAATCTGAGAAGTGTCACTTCAGGTTGTCCCAAATTTTCTTTTAACTTAGGTTTTAGTACATAATAAGGCCCATACCCACCGGCTACATGCAGCCTTGTATAGCAGGCCACATGACATCTATTTGTACCAAGCAAGGCCTGCCTGACTCCTCATTCCTGTCTAAAATTGTTGTCTCCTGCACAAGTGTACATGGCTCTCCTTGGAGTAGCCTGTTAACTAAGCCTTGCTTTGTGGTTGCCTCCACCTGTCCAATTAATCTGCTAGGTGCAGATGTCCTTCCCCCACTTGCAGGCCCCTATCACCTTATTATTTCTTTTGTTTCACACAGTGAAACCTGACCAAGAGGCAAGGGTCCTAGCTAGTTCCCCCAATACCTTTACCTGAATTATACAGGCCCCAAAGCCTGTCCAAGCTCTTACTATTCCCTAACAGGTTAAGGCTCTGGTGTTGAATGGTGCCCTGGTTCCCTGAGACTTTCCATGCAATATCCCACCTCTCCTTGTGATGGACGAATTCTGTGCAGGATAGTGTCACCCTGCAGGGATGATACTCTATTTACCTGGACACTCTTCTGCCACTTCCCAGGGGGGGGGAAATGATAAGACACTGACTATTATTTTTTTTAGCCTTTTCCTTATGATCTGTTCCGGATTTGCTGTCACTACAGTGGACCAAGTATCTCACCTCAACAATGTCTGCACAAGAAGCTGAGCTATAGGCTCCCATCACAGCATGCAAGATCTCTGAAGGAAGACTGAACTCAGAGGAATCATGTGGCAACTCTCTGGCTGACCAAGTTGTCCAAGAAGTTGTAAGTGCACTAAGGGAAGTGGACAGAAGTGTCCGGTAAGGAAATTCCTATTTTTCCCATGCAAACCTTACCTACAGACATCAAGCTCCTGAAGGAATAACAAGCAGCTACTGACCCTGGAAAGAAAAAAAAAAACACAAGCTGGAAACAGAAAGGGGCAACCCTTAAAGACAGGCTGTACTTCAACAATCTGAAGTTCTGCTTGCCCAAGAACATATACTCAGCAGTGGTCCAGTGGGCCTACGGAGCATCTGTCCAGAACCCTCATGAACTCTTTTGATCAATAAATACTCTGATGTACCAGGAATTGCCTCTCTGACCAACAGTTACTGTAAATCTTGTGCCATTTGTGCCAAGGGCAACTCAGGAAGAATGGAGGAAAGCCCCAAGCATCTAGCCAAACCTCATTATCTCATCCAGAGGAGTCAAGTCGACTACATCCAGAATGCCAAAGAGTGGCTGATTCAAATATGCACTAATTATAGCAGACATGTTTTCAGGATGGCCAGAGGCCTATCCAGCCACCAAAGTGATAACCAAGACCACATGCTGAGTAGTGCACTGTGAAAGTTACAGAGATCACCCCGTGGATTCATCATTCCAGAATCAAGCCTGCCTCTGCATCATGTGAAGTAGCATTTGTTGATCTTGACAACCCTTTTTGAAACTCCATTCTTAGAGAACAAAGATACTTGTTGAAAATAAATAAATAAATATCAAAAAGTGGGTGTTTTGATGGCCATAATAATGCCTGACCACCTGCCATCGATGGAAAGCCGAATACCCCAAAAGGGGACCTCGTGAAACTAAAGAGAAACAGACATACTCCTTACCCTGCAGCCCTCACGTCTGAGGTGCCATACGCACAGTCAAAGCTTCTTCAGGATCATCTGCTTATTTTGAGTTTGTGGTGATATTAATATTGAATGTTTAAATGATCTGAATCTGCCAGTACTAGGGTAGCATGAGACAAGATTTCTAAGATTAAGAATAAGTAAATGTGCCCTAGCCAAGGTTATTATGTCCATACACATAACACATGACAATCCCCAAGGTACTCTTGACACACCTCATTCATGCTTCAGGACAAAAAGGAGTACCCCTATAAAGGGTGGTTTTACCCACACACATATATATATATATATATATATATATATATATATATATTAATGCCATAGGGGTGTCAATGGGGGTACCAAATGATTTTAAGGTAAGAAACTAAGTTTGAATCTATTCTCCCAAGCATTACGGCTAATAAAATCTGAATTGGAAGGGAAGAGGTTTATACAATAAACAGGAGACCTTTTTCTTACAGGACATGTATGACTCAGCTGAATGGGTAGGTGCCACGCACATGACTGTTAATCCCCTCAAATCACACATTAGGACTTTAATAGACATAGTAGTCATCCCATATTTGAGGATACTAGGGCTGTAGAGACAAGTTTCTCTGACACTAACTTGTGACTTGAATGGATGAAATACAATGCTACTAAACATAACAAGTCTAAATGCTATGTCTGCGGAGGAGCGAGGCCTCACCCAGGTACTGTATCTCTGAACCTTCCTCCGGATATGAAGTATGCGTTTTAAGTCTCTACACTGTATTTAAACCTAAGCGGTCAGCATGTGAGTCATGGAAACTTAATACCCAATCATTACTAAAAATATTAACCCAGACGAAGGCATTACTATATATCCAGGGAACTATACTTGTTATGGGATATATGGTGGGATAGGGCGGTTACAAACTACCTCTCAGATGACCTTCCAGAATAGAATAAGCTTGGAAATGATTTTGGCAGGAAAAGGGAGAGTATGTAAAATACTCCCAGACACCATAACATGCTGTACCTATATTCCAGATAATACAGGCCCAAATGGTAAGGTAACGTTGGCAATAGAAAAGTTAAAGAGTTTGTCCAACGAGCTGAAACTAAATTCTGGGGCCACAGATC